GTTTATCCAAACAAATCTCGTTTAAAAAACAACATTCGTTAAGTAAAAAATTCTAAAATCTCGGATTCAGAAAAATGGTGACTGGACTGGGATTTGTGTCTGTGGCCATGATCATTTACGTTGTTGGCAAGATCCTTGAGGAAAGTTACCTTTTATCTCTTCCTTGCAGGTAGATGCTTTTAATGTTTTGCTCTCAGATGTTGACTCGCTGATCAGCAAAGTAGAGGGCATTTTCGGGAGCGACATCATTTAAAAATGTCTCTATTACTCTCTTTACTAATCTGAAATATGCCTCTGGAAAGGTATCCGAAAGACAAATCAGTTCCGTGAATGGAAGTGGCAGCACGGCCACATTGTCCTGCAGGCAAACAAAAAGACCCATCAAATGCTTAAATACTGAGGTTTATAATTCATGAGGCAAGGTCTTCTCTGGGGCGACCTGTGCGCTCACTCATATCACCTGCTCAACTAACAAGCCAACAGGTGCGCCCAAGGGACCAGCAAGGCAGAGCACGCTCGCCCAGCCCACCAGGGAGCTGGCTTCACCAGGACGCCCCCTAGCGGGAGGCTCGCGTCACAGCTTCCCCCGCGGACAGCGCCCACGGGCGCACCCAGCTCCTCGGACTCTAGGGTTTGGGGGAGCTTGGCACCGTTTCTGAGTCAGAAGTAACGGGAAACAGACACATGCAGCCCGCACCCGCAAATTGTGCTTCCCGCCAGGCAACATCGCACCTCACCTTTTCCCTGCATGCCCTCGTATCGCCATGGAAACGCAGGACCCGGACTCTTAGCAACCATCCATAGGGGCTGCCTTCTGTGGTGCCGGGCGCGGAGGAAAATGGCCACCACAATAAAATCCTACATTTCTTGGATTTTTGACGTGTTTTAAATTAAAGCATAGGTTAACTGAAAATATTAACTAATAACGTCTAATTGGGCTGTGTTCGCAGACTCCAGAGATGCCTGGATCAGGGAATTCCACGAGAGGCGGGCTCCTGCTCAGGCGCTGGTGGGCTTCACTCACCAGCTGTGTATCCTGTGACTGGATCTCCCTTCGGATATGAAGGAAGGTTTCTATCCTTTTGTTATTTTGTATACTTTCCTAAAATACAAATTCAGAGAAGGGTGACTAATCACAAGCTCTGGCCTTATTGTTGATACTTTCCGGTCCTTGACATTTTGATTATGCCTTCAAAAAGACTTTCACGCTGGAGGCCAACCCTAAACGAAATCTAGGTCTTCTTGTTTTGAAGCCTGTTTCAAGGATAAATGCAATAAACTCATTAATACCAAGTACAATGTCTCACAAAAATACTTATAATACCTAATAAATTCAATGCAACATTTCTGCTTTTGTGTAGACAGACATGAGACTTTGCTTTCCAGGAAAATGTAGAAGCCCCGAAGTCTTTAAGACTCTTAAGTACAAGAGATCAAAATTTGGCCTGATCCTCCCCTATCCTTACAATCTCCACTCGTTATTGCAGCCACTGTGTCAATCCATCTTGTTTAGGGTCTTCTTTCCTCTACATTTCCAAGTGTGATGTCTTTTTTTTCCTAGGACTGAGGCCTCCTGATAACACGCCCGAAGTATGTGAAGTGAAATTACATCTACCTTCAGCTTGCAAGGGACATCTGTTTGCATATAACACAATCTCCGTGCCCTCTTTTAATTCTTGTAGTCAAATATCCTTGTTGTATGAACTTAGCAAATTTTTCTACAGACTTTCAAAGAATTAAAATACTCCTATATAGACCTATCTAGTTTATTAATTATGCAAAGATATTTTGCTGTGTGGATCATAACAAACTGGTTAACTTTGAAAGAATGGGAATTCCACATGAAATATATTATTGTTGTTGTTGTTATGTGCCATCGAGTCGTTTGCGACTCATAGCGACCCTATGTACAAGAGCTCTAAACGCTGTTCTATCCTGTGCCAATCTCGCTGTCTCAAACACATTCATTCCCACCACTCCACTTACAGAATCGCTCCATCTCATCAAGGGTCTTCCTCTCCTGCGCCGTCCCTCCATTCTCCCAAACATGATGTTCCTCTCCAAGGACCAGTTCCTCCTTGCAACATGCACAAAGTATGTCAGAGGAAGCTTCAGAATCCTTGACTCCAGGGAACCTTCTGGCTTCACTCTCTCCAGGACAAACCTGTTTGTTCTCCTAGCAGTCCATGGTATAGTCAACATTCTTCTCCAGCACAGCTCAAAGGCATCAATTCTCTTTCTATCATCCCTATTCACTGCCCAACTCTCCGATGCATAGCATGTAATTGCAAAGACTATATCCTGGATCAGGCACACCTTAGTCTCCAGCCTGATGTCGTTGCACTTCAGTACTCTTGAGAGGTCCCTCACAGCTGACTTTCCCAATGCAATTCATCTCCTGATTTCCTGGCTGCTGTTACCAAGATTGTTGACTGTGGAGCCAAGCAAACTAAAACTGTTAACTATCTCAATCTCTTCACCATCCATACTGATGCTGCCAATTGGCCCAGTGGTGAGAATCTTTGTTTTCTTGATGTTGAGCTTCAATCCATATTGAAGGCTGCAGCAAGAGCTTCAGGTCCTCCTCAGTTTCAGCGAGCAGGGTTGTGTCATCTCCCTAATGCAGGTTGTTGACCATGCTTGCATCAATCCTGATGCCACGTTCCTTCTTGTACAGCCCAGAGTCTTGGATGATCTGTTCTGCATACAGATTGAAAAGGTATGGAGACAAAATATATCCCTGACGGACTCCTTTCTTGATTTTGAACCATCCAGTGTCTCCCTGCTCTGTTCTGACAACTGCCTCTTGGTCCAAGTATAGGTTTCGCATTAGCACAATCGAATGTTCTGGGATTCCCATTCTTCTCAGAGTCAGCCACAGCTGTTGTGATCCACACAATCAAAAGCCTTTGCATTGTCAATGAAGCACAGATAGACATTCTTCTGGTATTCTTTGCTTTCTGCCAAGATCCATCTTACATTAGCTATAATATCCGTAGTACCACAACCTCTTCTAAATCCAGCCTGCACATCTGGCAGTTCTCTGTTGACACATCGTTCCAAACATTTTTGGATAATTTTCAACAGAATCTTGCTTGCATGTGATATTAATGATATTGTTCAATAATTTACACACCCTGTTGGGTCACCTTTCTAGACAAATATGCTGTTGTCTGAATAGACCGAGGGAACACTGCATGGTATAAAAACAAGAAATGTGTGTGTCAGGTTTGTATCCTTTCTCCATAACTATTCAATCTGTATGCTGTGCAAATCATTAAAGAAGGTGGACTTTATGAAGGTTAATGTGACATCAGGATCAGAGAAAGGCACAGAAATAACCTACATTATGCAGATGATAGCACTTGCTGCCGAAAGTTGAATGCTGCAATCTTCAATATGTATTACTTTTCAGCATCAAGAGAATAAAAATCATACTGGGCCAATAGGCAACATCATGATAGGTGGAGAAAAGGTTGAAATTGCCAATGATTTCATCCTACTTAGATTCATAACTAACACCCTTGGCCCCAGCAGTCTACCTGTTCAATGCAATCAATACAGATACCAAATTCCTTTTTAAAAGAACTATAAAAAGCAATTGCAAGTTTATTTGGAAAGGAAAGAGACCTTGAATAAGCAAAGTATTTCTGAAAAATAAGGATGAATGGAGGGCATAGCACTCGCTGACCTAAAAACCTACTACATAGATGTAATAACCAAAACAACATGGTACTGGTACAGGTACAATAACAGGAACAGAAACCAATGGAAAAGAATCAAGGACCCCCAAATTTACCCATCTACTGACAGTCAGATGCTGCCCTGGATGTGCTCACTAAATTGTGCCAAGAAATCTGGAGGACAGTCACCTGGCCAACTGACTGGAAGAGATCTATAGTTCTTCCCATTCCAAAGAAAGGTGACCTGACAGAGTGCAGAAATTACTGAACGATATCTTTAATATTGCATTCAAGCAAGATTCTGCTGAAAATTATCCAAAAATGACTGGAGCAGCATGTCAACAGAGAACTGCCAGATGTGCAGGCTAGGTTTAGAAGAGGCCATGGGACTGGTGATATTACAGGTCATGTTAGATGGATCTTGGCTGAAAGCAAATAGTGCCAGAGGAATGTCTGTCTGTGTTTAATTGACTTTGCAAAGGGTTTTGACTGTGTGGATCACAACAAACTGTGGCTGACTCTGAGAAGAATGGGAATCCCAGAACACTTGATTGTGCTTATGTGAAACCTATTCTTGGACCAAGGGGCAGTTGTCAGAACAGAGCAAGTAAACACTGCATGGTTTAAAATTGAGAAAGGTGTCCACCAGGGATGTATTCTGTTTCCATACCTTTTCAATCTATATGCAAAACAGATTATCTGGGAGGCTATGCTGTATGAGGAGGAATGTGGCATCAAGATTGGAGGAAGATTCATCCACAACCTGCGTTATGGAGATGACACAACCCTGCTTGCTGAAATTGAGGAGGACCTTAAGCCTTTGCTGCAGAAAGTCAAGGACTGCAGCCTGCAATATGGATTGAAGCTCAGTATCAAGAAAACAAAGATTCTCACCACTGGGCCAATTGGCAGCATCATTACGGATGGTGAAGAGACTGAGATTGTTAACAGTTTTAGTTTACTTGGCCACACAAATACAAAATGAGCATAAGACATGGAAAAACTTTTCACAGAGGAAGACATTCGGATGGCCCACAGATACATGAAGAAATGCCTAAAATAACTGGTGATAAGAGAGATGCAAATCAAACCCACAATAAATTACCATATCACCTTAGCAGTGGCAACGTTTAATAGGACAGCAAGCAATAAATGTTGGAGATGATGTGGAGAGATTGGAGCTCTCATACACTGTTGTTGGGATTGTAAAATGGTGCAGTCACTTTGGAAGGCAGTTTGGCATTTCCTCAAAAAGCTGAACATAGAAATTCCATATGATCTAGCTATTTTACTGCTAGGAATACACCCCAAAAATTAAAATGGAGACACACCAATGTTCATAGCAGTGTTATTCACAAAAGCAAGAAAAGGGAAATAGCCAAAATGTCCATCAACAAACGGATAGATTGTAAAACTGTGGTGCATTCACACAGTGGAATACTATGGAACACTCAGGAGTAATGATTTTGAAATATACTATATAACATGGAAGAAGCTGAAGACCATTATGATGAATGAACTAACTCAGTCTCACAAGGACAAATACTGTATAAGACCATTATTATAAAAATAGTCATTTTAGACTAAGGTGCATCTGGTCAGGCTATGTATCTGAAAGTCAGACAATGAATAAAGACTGTAGAAAAGGATTCAATACTTTTGATTTATATTGTAGGAAAAGAGTTCTGATTGTTCCATGAACTACCGAAAGAACCAACAAATCTGTGTTGGAGGAGGTGCAGACAGAATGCTTCTGAGAGGCACGGATGGCAGCACTTCTTACATACTTTAAGTATGTTGTTAGGAGGGACCAGTCCTTGCAAAAAAACTTTATGCTTGGAAAGGTGGAAGGAAGGTCAGCACATTACAGGGACTGACACAGTGACTGTAACAATGGGCTCAAGTATATCAGAGATGATAAGGATGGCAGGCTTCAGATTCGTTCATAGGGTTGCTAAGAAGATAAGGGCTACATTCGGATAAGGGAGGCCTTCTCCCAATGTCCTTCTATACTAAAAGGATCCTTCTAGCAACAATATCAAAGTTCAACGGGACAGCAACAAATGCTGTCAAGGTTGTATAGAGATAGGAACTCTTATTCACTGCTAGTGGGAATGTAAATTGGTACAGCCACTATGGAAAATGGTCTGGCACTTTCTCAAAAAGTTAGAAATAGAAATACCATTCATTAGACCCAGCAATTCCACTACTGGGCATATACCCTAAAACTACGGTACAGTCACACAATGGAATATTATGTAGCATTAAAAAACAATGATCTCGATTCTTTGTGCTCAGGTGAGGAGTGTCCTGGTGGGGAGTGAAGCAGATCGGCCACAGGGGCCCCCATCAAATTTTTCTGGAGAGCCGACTGGCCATTCTAAGCCAAGGTGGTAAAAATCTTGCTTCGGTGGGCGACATGGAACAAGT